ATGTTAGAAATTTATTAATAAAACTTAATCCAAAATGAATTGATTTTTAGTTACAAACAACAAACCAACAAAACTTGGTCTATAATGTTAGGCCTATAACTGTAATATAAAATTAATTTTGTTGATCTTCTTCGGCGTCGGTGTCCTCATCGCCGCCACTCTTCTCCTCATTGTCTGAGTTATAGACTTCACTGCTTTCTAAACTACTCTTACATTCTTCAAACAATTTAACGAAATCTTTGAGTAAATCTTTGTTCTAAAATACAAATTAAAATACAATTTAATGTTAAACCAAAGAAAATAGTTGTTTAGTTTAGTTGATTAGAGTATAATTCTCATGCCCTTTGATGTTCACAAAATCAACAAAGCAGTAGTCACTATACAAAGTGTTATACCTGTATAGTGGGCACTGATTTGTTCATTTTGTTTGCATCAAAATATGTTTAAAGTTATAATTACTTTAAGTTTGAGCGCAAACTGTTCGCTAACAGGACTTCCATCGGTAAAGTCGACGGCATTCCAACAAACACTGGTTTCACTTGTATTCATTGGATTCAATGTTATTTCTGGTGTTATATAATGATTACATGCAATCTTTAAGATCTGTTCTCTTCGTAAAATCATTCGATACCGAACTGTAAAGTAGTTTCAAAACAAGTGGTTATTATCCAGAACTATATGCAATCATTTGGGAAATATGACAAACTTTTAGACTTGTGTTTCAAAATTTTAAAGTCTCCGATTCCTCGCTCTTTCCACTCTTTGAGATTAGGGTCAAAGCGATAGAGTTTAGCCCTTTGACAGTATATGGGCTCTTCATCTTCCTCTCCGGTCTGCACTTCAATCAATTCAGGCAAAGGAATGATTGGCTTAAAGTATATGTCAGGATTCGCGGCCACAGAATCTAATCGTATAAATCATTCATTTGTAATGCAATCACATTTCAAATACAGGAGTCATACCGTCGTCATCGCCAGTGTTATTGTGTTCACTGAATAGAGGCGCCGGAGTTTTAGTTATCCATGACTTCGGGCTACTATTGCTTAACCAATCAGTTTGGCTGACATTCGCCTGACTGATCGCTGACGCGAATAAACCTAAACACAGTATATATTAGTTAAGTAAGTTGTTAAAAGCAAACAAATTCAATGCATACTCTCTGAGGTTGAGTTCTCATCGGTTGAATTGTCAGTAATGGTTGGCTTAGAATCAGATTGAAAGGAGTAGTCTTCGTCATGACAGCCACGACATCCTTTACACGCATCCATAGTCTCGTAGTCGTAGAAATTGAGCGGAAGTTTCAATTCTTTAACTTTGTTGAGAATCTCTTCAGATTGAGGAGATTTAACCCAAAGAATCTCAATCTCTTCATCTGATTGTGGTTTTGATTCAAACTTTGACGGACTTAATACCGATTGTCTCTCTTTTTCGCTGAGATCGCCATTCAATTGGCTTTTGTGTCCCACAGGACTGGAATCGATAGCAGATTTATCGCTCACTTCAAGTCTCGATTGTGCGCTTCGGAAGGCGTTAAGAAATAGTCAAAGGAATGATTGGCTTAAAGTATATGTCAGGATTCGCGGCCACAGAATCTAATCGTATAAATCATTCATTTGTAATGCAATCACATTTCAAATACAGGAGTCATACCGTCGTCATCGCCAGTGTTCTTATGTTCACTGAATAGAGGCGCTGGAGTTTTAGTTATCCATGACTTCGGACTACTATTGCTTAACCAATCAGTTTGGCTGACATTCGCCTGACTGATCGCTGACGCGAATAAACCTAAACACAGTATATATTAGTTAAATAAGTTGTTAAAACCAAATTCAATGCATACTCTCTGAGGTTGAGTTCTCATCGGTTGAATGGTCAGTAATGGTTGGCTTAGAATCAGATTGAAAGGAGTAGTCTTCGTCATGACAGCCACGACATCCTTTACACGCATCCATAGTCTCGTAGTCGTAGAAATTGAGCGGAAGTTTTAATTCTTTAACTTTGTTGAGAATCTCTTCAGATTGAGGAGATTTAACCCAAAGAATCTCAATCTCTTCATCTGATTGTGGTTTTGATTCAAACTTTGACGGACTTAATACCAATTGTCTCTCTTTTTCGCTGAGATCGCCATTCAATTGGCTTTTGTGTCCCACAGGACTGGAATCGATAGCAGATTTATCGCTCACTTCAAGTCTCGATTGTGCGCTTCGGAAGGCGTTAAGAAATAGTTCCGCGTTTTCGGCATTCTTTACGCGTAACAAAAATAGCTGTGGAGTTGGCGTCTCATCGCTGTAATCAATGCCAGACCAAGTCATCGATTTCTTATCGTCTTTCAAATCCAGTTTCAATTCTTTGGTGATATACTGATTGAGACATACTTTCAAAATAGTGTCGCGTCTCATAAGAAATCTAATTCGCTTCGAGTCTTGACTCTCAAGTATTTTCAGATCTCCGACTCCGCGCTCTTTCCACTCATTATCACAAAACCGGAAAAGTCTGGCGCGACTCACGTGAAGCACTGTTTCCTCCTCTTCGCCTGTTTTCACCTCAACTTTGGGCGGAAGAGGTATTACGGGCTGAAAGTAAATGCTGTCCGCATTCGAAGGCTCCACCGATTCGTTGAAACTCGTGTTTTCCGGTTCTTCGGTCTCATTCACAACATTGCTTTGGGCGTCAATTTTAGGCGCCTCTGGTTTGGAGACATTGTTTAAATCGAAACTAAACTTCGGACTCAAACCGAAGCTAAACGGCTTTGGATTGTCGACCGCATTATTAGCGAAGATATTTGAGGCACTTTTCTCTTCGAGTGGTTTATTTGGTTGAAAACTAAAGTCAGAATTACTTAAACTCAAAGCGGGCAGCGGTTGAGGGCTGGAAGTGTTGCCAAACTTGAAGCCCGTGTTACTGAAGATTGTAGTGGAATTCAAAGCGGAATTTGCGTCAAACGCACCGAATTTAAATGAAGTGGTGCTCGAAGTGGACGACGGGTTGAAAGAGATGGCATTCAAATTCTCAGCACTAAATAAATTACTCTTTTGTTCAGATGATGTCTGTTTGGGTGCGGATCCAGGTTTTGGTGTCTCACAAGCGGCACAAATATCGACTGAACCATTGTTATTGACATAACAGACATCACACTGCCATGAGTTAGCCGCCGGTTTAAAGAGTTCCGATAGTGGTTTAGTTTGATCTAATTTGGGGTTCAATTGAATGGGAGGGCTTTGCCATTGACTTAATTGACTGGTATTGGGCGTCAATATCGCTTCATTCTCTAAATTTTACAACAATTAAAATATTTAGCTTTTATTAAAAAATGGCAATTTTTCAATTCTTTCATACCTGAGATGTAATCATCAAAATCTTGCTGTTCGTCTTCTTCTTCCTCTTGAGTCATATATTCATAAATAGTCTCTTTCAACGAAGTCTGGGAATCAGTTAATGTATTTATGCTATCATTTATTCCCGTCAATTGATTCTGTAAAACAGATATACATTTAATTAAAATGTCATAAAAATACAATCAAGTGATTAATACCTGAATGTCTTTAATATTAGATGTGTTTTGTCTTAAGATATCTAAAAGCACTTTATTAGTAGCGATAAGCGATTCCTGTTGTGCAGACATTTTGTCTAAAATGGTTTGATTACTACATATTCCACAAGAATGATCGTTAGCGTCGGAACCACTTTCAGAGTACTTATTGCGTTCGGGCGTCGACTTCACAGATGGACTCCAATTGGTTGGTGTAATACTGTTGCTGTCACTCATCTAAATATTCACATCAATTAAAACTTATATAATTATTATTATAACAATAATCTCCAAATCATACCATCGATGATGACATCACATTATTGGCAGTCATTTGATTATACGATAAGTAGTTCTCATTCGTCCCTTTCTTAAAGTCCAAAGCTTTCCTGTAGTTAATGACAGCCCTCTCGTCGTCTCCCATCGCTTCATATATCTGTGCCATTAGTTTGTGTCCATCACTAGAGTTGGGCTTTACATTCAGATACGCGTTCACTGATCTGATCAAGAAATGCATCAATTAGTTCACAAATGAACCATTGGATTCAGTAGTGGTTAGAGTTGTAGTCATCACTACATCGATGGTTGTCATCAATAAGACAATCACAACTCAAACCATCACTTCTTAAGAGGAATGTATCAATACTTCAAAGCGTTTTCGTATTCGTTATTCTTGAGGTAAAGTCTCCCGAAATTAAGACCACGTAATGAACGCTATAATCAATGGTTAGTCAATGTCTTAGTTGTGGACAACAACTGGTCATCAATTGTTATATCAATACATACCTCGACGTCGCTCTTCATTTTGATGGCCGATTGGGAACCACTAATGTCCAGATCCTTCACCGATCGGTTCATTAGATTTCACTTTCAATCAATCAATTGATGATTAGATTTGAACCACAAATGGATTGTATTTTAAGAGATGAGAGACAGAGAGTGCCGGCAATAATACAGTGCAACACATGTATAGTCAACGTCTCATTCAATGTATATATTGTTAGCAATTCGTCAACTTTTGTCTCAAATATTGCCAAATTTATGCATTAATTAGACAATAATTTAGGCAAATATAATGTTTAGTTAGCTTTCAATGAAATAACATAAACATTAATTATAAGATGTGTTGATTATACGTGAGTTGAAGTGTATTAGCCGTTAACGCAAACAATACGAAGCCCTCCATTGCTTTACATGTGTTCATAAAATGTTCACTATTTTTATCAATAGATGTCTTTCACTCATCAATAAAGTGATCAAAATTGCATACAATATAACGTAAGCTTTCAATAGAAGAATAGTAGAAGAATCTAAAAATTTTAATTAAAATTGCGAGGAATTGACCATTAAAATTAAATATAATTATATTTAACAAGTTGGTATAATGTGCTAAATAATATTAATGAACTACAGTATAAAGTCTATGGTTTGTCTATTGTTTATAAATACGGCTAACCAAATAACTAAGTTGCGTTGAAAAATTTTTAATAACTTTTGCCTAGGTTATTCGATTCTAAATCTGTTTCCACAGAATTCAAGTCAGATAACTCTGAATTAATCCAATATATAATCGATTCAAACTTAAGCAACAACTCAAACTCAAACTAGCACTCATCTCACAAAAAGATACACATGAGTTTGAGCAAGTTTCTAGAATAGTTCTGATAATTATCTCTGTATACTCCTAAGGACTCGTCTTACTTTAAAATCGATATCAATAAATTCAAACAAGGATGTTTGCAAAACATCCTGTTAGTCATTCAATAACAAAATGTGAAAAAATTAATTTATAAATTCTAAACATTTTTGAACAAGATCATATTTCATCCACAAACTAAAGTTGTGATTATCTCGAAAAGTATTTAAGATAATTAAAAAATTCTTTCACAGCCTGAACAAGTGTTTGAATAACAATTAAAAATACAATTAAATATTATTGTGACTAATGAATAATGAATGCCAAACAATCATTAAAAGTTTTAAACAGTTATTAANACAAGTGTTTGAATAACAATTAAAAATACAATTAAATATTATTGTGACTAATGAATAATGAATGCCAAACAATCATTAAAAGTTTTAAACAGTTATTAAAGTACTTTATTAACAAAAACTCAATATGAAAGTGGGGTTAAATTTGAAGCTTTATTTAGTCTACAAAAGGATCTCTTCTCTTTGAAAACTCAAAAACTCCAATTATGGCTCAAAAAACTGTGATTTAATTAAAAGTATTTTTACTTTTAATCTTGTATACATCTTGTGTAAACTCGCTATCTTTTAAAAAATTTTTATTTATTTTAAATTTTTAAAATTTGACCTAGGATAATAATTTTTATATATTTCTTCTTTGTTTTATATGCTTTAATCATGATAAAAATTATATTAAAATTTTGCCACTTTTATCAAACTTAAGACAACTCCTAAAAATGAGTCCTAAGGAGTCCTAAAAATGAATCGTAAAGTTAATACAGAGAGAATGATTAAATGACACAATGACTAAGTGACCGGTAGTAATGTCTTTCAAACAAAGTTTTTTTTGCACAAAGAGGTAAATGTGACCATTTGTCAGTATATTTAGGCATCATTTTTGGTTTCACAGTTGTGGTAAAACTTATGATTCATAAGTTTATGCAAATTGATGTTAGCCAAACAAATACACAAATTATTAATTTTACGGTTATTATTAATAATTTTTATTAATATTAATAACTTATTAATTAATTATTTACTGACAATAATTTTTTTATTAAAGTTTATGTAAATTATAAAATATAATAAATATATATAGTTTACAAAATAATCTTCAAATTATATAAATTTTGAATCATTTAACAAAATAATGCTAAAAGCATATAAAGCATACACGACTAGTACTAACTTTAATAATAATAATAACCTAAATTGTAACAAACCTCCTTATTACTAACAGATCAAAACCATTTCATATCGTATAATAATCTGTTCTTAACATTAGTTATATATCACTATCTCTCCTTCTTAATTTAATAGTTAAAGAAAGTGAATTGACTCAATAAGCGCTGTTGTTATCGATATAAAACTTATGATTAACACTAAATGCATGTCCACTGAAACAGTTGGCAATATATACGCAATAATAAGCAAAGAACTCATTAATTGAATCATTATTGCAAATACAGTTCCTTCATATGTCTTATGGGAAGCACTCCATCGATGTCTGCCATATAAAGAGCCGCCGACAGCGGCTGCCGTATCGCCTAAACCAACACTTATAACACCGCTCGCAATGGATATACCATTTGATGGACTGATCCAAAGAGGAAGCGAACAACCAATGAGTAAATAANGATGTCTGCCATATAAAGAGCCGCCGACAGCGGCTGCCGTATCGCCTAAACCAACACTTATAACACCGCTCGCAATGGATATACCATTTGATGGACTGATCCAAAGAGGAAGCGAACAACCAATGAGTAAATAAATGTGTGTTAATGTCAATAATCCGCTGTCTTTTTGGTCTCGAAATTTCACAAAAATTGGTTCAATTATCTCATAAAAGGGACTCATTTTACGCACTCTTAACACCTGATTGAAAGCAAATATTAGGCAAACTATTAGAAATGAGTTAACAATTAATTGAAAGAAACATTTTCTATGTAATTGAAATTGACTTAAGAAATACAACACTCACTTCTACCACTATGAATATGGCCAACAACGCCGCCGAAGCAAACCTTAAAAACTTTATATCATCTTTAATACCGAATAAATAGACCAATGAAATCAATATATGATAATATTTTCGTGTTATTGTCGACGCTTTTGACGAGTAATATGTGGTAAATATTAGAGTAATTGCTGTAATAATAGCCCAAATGACTACTAGTCTGCCCTATAATTCAAATCAAAGTTAGTGTTAAATGTGTTTCAAATGCTATTTAAAGTCTTACTCTCTTTTGATTGTAAAATATGAAATCAAATAACCATTGAATTGGATTCATTGCGAGTATAGAAAATAGCATTAAATATGTACTAAATATTATTAAACACATTGCTATCAATTCCACGGATTTGTTACGAATTTTCAATCGACTTAAGATTATTGGCGACAAAACAATTAAAGCGATTCCAACGAAAATAACCTGTATTTCAATGCAAACAGTTAGTGATTAATAATAGTCACCAATTATTCATTTATTTAAAGATTTACTTGTATCACAAGAGTTGGTGTATCTGTTGAGCAAAACATATAACTTTTGGTCGGATTAAAGAGTGTTGTTGTGAGACATGCGGAGGAAGTGGACACATAGGCCACAGACAGTTGGCTCACAATAAACAGCTCTCCCGACGAGAAACTCGACTTCAAAAGTGGTGGCATTTTATACACAATTTGATAATACAATAGATTTGAGAGAAACGCCAAAAGACTTAACATAAAAATTGAATCTAAAATTGAAATTCAAATCATATTTAAAATTGATTTGACAATCATTTCAATCACTTTTACCTAAAGATAGCAAACGATCGCAAATATAGGCGAAAGAAAGTGATGTCAACGACAGACACAGCAACACATGGTTTGCAAACGCAAATCAAACTACATTTGATTGCGAATTTTGTTGTATTAATTCCGTATCTAAACGACAGTTTGTCATTAAGCGACATTTAAATTATAGTTAAGTTAATAATGTAGTAAAAATCTGTTTTATATTTTATTCGCAAAAATATACAAACTTTTGTCAAATAAATAATATTTATAATAATTGGCGAGAAATACAAATGAAACCAATGGTAAGCAGTGGTTGTCTTTCAGTTGATCCATAGTTTCAATGCATTCATTGAGAATCACTTTGAAAAACACGTGTCCTTTAAATGACACTTAAATTGACAACAAATTGAATGAAAACATCAAATGATTTAAAGTGCAAAACATTACCAAATTTGATCCATAGTTTCAATGCATTCATTGAGAATCACTTTGAAAAACACGTGTCCTTTAAATGACACTTAAATTGACAACAAATTGAATGAAAACATCAAATGATTTAAAGTGCAAAACATTACCAAAACATGACGTCATATCAAAACACATCCAATCAGTGATTGAGTCACTCTTTCACACAAATAACGTCTGATTTTGTGATGAAATGAGAATTTTGTTGAGCAGTGAATAGGGTTTTGGTCTGAGTTTAGTGTTCAAGTGTAAACCTCATGTTCATTACGTTACTTACTTACGTAATCAGAAAATTACTGAGTATCTGAGTTATGTTGACTTTCCAAACTCACTTACCAAACATACCAAACATACCAAACATACCAAACATACCGTTTTGTGTTCAAACAAATGTCAACAAAAACCTATGAATCCATTCAGACATCAACTTCTCATTAAGACATCACTTGATTATTGTCTTCAATTCATTCATAAGTATATCGATTGTAATCCCAGTGATTGTGTCCGCACTCAACACTCGGCCACCATTTAGTGATTGTGTGAACAGTGATTGACAATTAGACCGCAAATCATTGCCCGCATCACTGAAGGGATCAATTGGTGGACAATATGTCTTCTCAGCATAAGTCAGGTAATGAAGGCATTGATTGACTACTAATGACATAACGATGTAATTGAATGCAATGTTGTGTTTGGACAGGAGGTCGAAGTGGGGAAGAGGTAGTGGTGATCGCCAAATACGACTACACGGCTCAGGGGTCGCAGGAGTTGGACCTGAAGAAAGGGGACAGACTGTCACTACTGGACGATAGCAAGCATTGGTGGAAAGTATTGAA